TCTTAAAATCCAAATGATTAGATAGAAATTGTTTCCAATATAAATGATTTCTAATCACAACCTTAATTGAGGCACTAAAAATATTATTACACATTAAATACCAAGTAGCAAGCTAACTTAATATCTTAGGATAAAGAGAGAAACATATAGCTGCCCCTCTGTATCTGTGGGGCATGGTTCCAGAACTGCCTGCAGACACCAAAATCTGTAGATGCTTAAGTCTCTGATATAAAATGACTTAGTGTTTGCATGTAACCTGCGCACGTCCTCCCGTGTATTTCAGGTCATCTTTCGATTACTTATATACCTAACATAATGCAAATTCTACATTAGTAGTTGTTCTACTGTATTATTTAGGGAATAATGATAAGAAAGAAAGTCTGTACGGGTCAGTACGGGTGCAATTATTTTCCAAATATTTTTAATCTGCAGTTGAATCCAAGGATGCACAGCCCATGGATACGGAGGGTCGACTGCACGTGAATTTTACAAAAACACTTTGTGCTTTTGATTCCTTGCTTTGTTTTAACGTGAATGGATCACCTCTTTAGAAACGAAAGGCCAAGGCCCTGCAGGATGATGTTTTTGGAACACTGGTGATAATTTGTCAAGCTCATCCCTTCACAGATGAAGGAGGATGACAAAATGAGCCAGAGACTTGGCTTGCAAGTGCATGTTCGTCCCAGTGGGCTATTGGCATGCCATGGTGCCTCTCACATTTTGAGCAGTGGCTTTATATCCTAGAGTTTACAATGATCGGGCAGTGCTCCCTTGTCCAATCACTTCAAGTTTACTAGTCAAAGCCACTGGATGGAAATTTTGAGGGCCAATGGGAGTGGAAAGGAATCCAGCCTGGGATCCTCCACCTCAAAAAATTGACCACTAGTTGGCCTCACATGCTGCTGATCTAAAAGATGCTATATAAAACCCAGGACTGTCCAGAAGGACTTTTGGGGAGACAAAGACACGTGGCATGGCAGTATGCCCACAGGTGTGGTGCCTGCCCTGTAATCCCCTCCCTTTTTTTTGAGTCAGGGTCTCACTCCGTTGCCCAGGCTGGAGTGCAGTGGCATACTCATGACCACCACAGCCTCGACCTGCTGGGCTCAGGCAATCCTTCCACCTCAGCCTTCCAAGTAGCTGGAACCACAGGCACGCACCACCACACCTGGTTAATTTTTAAAAATTTACTTATTATAGAGATGAGGTCTTGTCATGTTGCCCAGGCTGGTCTACGCAATACTCTCGCCTTAGCCTCCCAAAGAGCTGGGATTATAGGCGTGAGCCACTGTGTTAAAATGTACACTCTGCCTTATGCAACCACCTGTGACAGGCAGCACAAGGACTGTACCAACTCTTTTTTTTTTGAGCCGGGGTCTCACTCTGTCATCAAGTCCTCCTGGGCTCAGGCGATCCTTCCACCTCAGTCTCCTGAGTAGCTGGGACTACACGCATGCACCACAATGCCCGACTAATTTTTTAATTTTCTGTAGAGATGAGGTCTCGCTATGTTGCTCAGGTTGATCTTGAACTTCTGGGTTTAAGCGATCCTCCTGCCTCAGCCTCTCAAAGTGCTGGGATTACAGGCATGAGCCACCATGCCTGGCCTGTACCAACTCTTGAGCCAACTCTTGATTCCTAAACATCCTTGGATCTCACCTCTGACATCCACTCCTCACATGAGCACAAAGCTAGTCTGGTGATGCTGGTGTGGACACAGTCACCTTCTCAGAGGACTGCAGTCCCTGCTCTTGCCCTGCTACAGTCGCTTGATATTAATATCTTCTCTTTCTGTGAGTGTCTCAGCCACCATATTCAGCTCCTACTTATCCTCTGGTTTTGGAGGGCATTGATCAAAGCCCTCTAAATACAAAGTCACTTGTCCAACACTCACCATTTACAGTGAATCAGTTGGCCACTAAACTATGGTACTTTGGGTAACCTTAGCTCCTCCCAGCAATCTGACCGTTGAAACTACTCACTGTTACCAAATTCACATACAATCCAAGTCACCATATGACACACTGCATTTCTCAACTTGGACTTCCTCATTCCATTCCAACTTGTGCTATTTCTTCTCCTCCTGGGCTTCAGTGACATGTCAGAAGCCAGACAGTATCTGAGAGAACTGTAGGCCAGCTGGAGTCTCATGAACACTGGGGGCAAGACATCATCAGGCCACCTCCAGTGGAGCCCACCACCCATCGGAGCCACTACCTAGAGTCTTTCAAGTGATGGGTCATCAACTCAGAGTCTTTTGACTCTCCCCAAATCCCTCCCTGTGGATCAAACTTGCCTTGAGCTGTCTCCTTTTCTCTCTGACCCAGGAGATGCTGTTCTAGTCACATATCCTTGTGGCTGGAACAGACAACCTGGGTTAGAGAACCAAGCTGAAACACAAGAACTGTTGGACTAACAACAATGCTGTGGCCAGATAAGATCCCTAGATTACTGGCGCAGGTTCAGCCCAGGGAAACAGACATGGGAGACCACTTCTCACTTTCAGAATATACTTGAAGAGGTTCAAGTTTTCCATCAGGTGAAATCTATCCCACCTATGGAAAGAGATTGGGGAGGGAGATACCAGATCAACGTTTGTTCCCTCCCCATCAATTATCTGGGTCAAGGAAGGATGTTCCAAAAAAGGCTCCCTCCCTTGTGCATTTTTGCCACAGGGACTTTCTCCACCCAGTAACTCGGATGCTCCCAGAACTTTGAGGCAGCCCTTTCCTTTTGGGTTTGAGTATTGCTTTTGAGCTCATCCCATGGGTTAGTTGTTTAGACCATTCTTTGCTTCCTTGCCTGGGACTAGCCTAGGAACCTGTCCCAACTTCTCTCAGGTTTAACTTTGGCTCTTAAAATCTCAGTACAAAGCTGGGCTCGGTGGCTCAGCCTGTAATCCCGCGCCTTTGGGAGGCTGAAGTGAG